TTTTTTTTTTTTTTTTTTTTTTTTTTTTTTTTTTTTTTTTTTTTTTTTTTTTTTTTTTTTTTTTTTTTTTTTTTTTTTTTTTTTTTTTTTTTTTTTTTTTTTTTTTTTTTTTTTTTTTTTTTTTTTTTTTTTTTTTTCCCTTCCCCATCCTTTTCTGGTGAAGATGTTAAGTGAGATATGAAAAACAGACAAACAAACAAACAAGACACAAAAACCCCTCAACTCCACACCAAACCGAAAGAACACAAAAAGCCCCCACAAAAAACCAAACCCACCCAAACCCCACATCTAGTTTTGTTTCAAAGTCTGCCATTTATCTGATCCCTTCGTCCCAAAGAGAGGTGCTTGGACCTGGTAGATCATGTGGATTGTGGAGTACTAAACTGAGGATTTAGGTCTTTCAGTGGCTTTTTGCAATAGTTGTTTTATCTACCTGCTTTACCAGGAGAGGCCTATACTCGTATAGAAAATTACAAGGGAGTATGCAAAATTACAAACATTGTAGACTCTAATAAAGTCTTTTTGCACCTTTAAAAATAGCCCAGCCTAGGTGTCCAGCTCAGTTTTTCTTGTCTTGCTCTCCTACACTATTTTGTTTAAAAGTTTTCGAACCAAAATGGAGATTGAATTATTAGGTGAATACTTTTCTAAAACCACAAAGCATTTACACAGTGACTTCTGATGAAAAGAAAACCTCTTCCAGCTCGCTAAAACTATCGAATTAATTGTTTATGTGTAAACAAATCTGTTACCTGGCTACAATAATTATCGATTTTGTTTCAGAGGGTTGGGGAACAGGGGCAGGAGCCACGGGAGATATATTTATTTTTCTTCTTGCTCTGCGATTTGGGGGGAGACAAGAAGACTATTCTGGCGTGGTTCACTGCAGCTGCGTCCTGCCTCATGGCAAGTTGTAGTACAGTCAGTGTGGAGTGCTCAAGTGACCTATAGCCTGAAACGGGTGGGCATAGGAGAGAATGATTTCCAAGCAGTAGGGGAGCCTCCTGTACGGTGCTCAAAGGGAGGTCTTATAGGGAGTGATAACAGAGCCCCTGGCAGGTGGTGGAGCAAACTGCTTCCTCCGGAGTCGTACAGTTTTTTTTTTTTTTTTATTAGAGTTGTCGGTTTCAGTGGATCGACCCCAACTTCTTCCGCCTCTAAATGTCTTATCTCAGTTAGTGGTGCTGGAGTACTTAATTCAACTTAGATGGTGTTCCGTATAAACTGAAAAAAATTAAAGCGAAGTTCCTGACACTTGGTTTAACGAGCTCTGCTTCTCCAGGAGTGGCCTGTGTGTCGGATTATCCCGTGTGCTATCTCGTAGCTTCTATTATTTTGCTGTGCCCTGTGCCAGTATTTTTTTTTAATAACAGGATAGGCCTTAGAATATTATACAGACTAAAACTGAGAAAAATATTTTACATAAGATATAATGATATTTGCAACTGAGTTTTTCAGTGTAACAGAAATACCAGTCCTAAAGAGAGGACTCTGCCTTCCTCTCAGCTGTGGATAACTCGAGGATCAAAGAGATGGTACGGAAAAAAGGCCAGGCAGCGACTGGCAGCTGCAAGGGCCCGATATTTCCGTGGCGATTGTCCAGTCCACGAGATCTGCCCGTGGGCAAAGCACAGCAGAGAGAGCTCGGCAGCTCTCGGTGCCTGCAGTGCGGGGAGGAGGCTGCGGGCGCCGCTGTTGACCGAGAGGAGCGAGAGGAAGGTCGGAGCGCTGCAGCCCCGCCCGCTGCGGACCGGCTCGATCGTCCTCTCACTCGCTGTCTCGGCGGCCGAGCGGTTTGCGAACGTTCCCCCGGTGCGGAGCCGAGCTCCAGCGGTGCGGAGGGGCGGGAGGCAGAGGCCGAGAGCGGTGAGCAGGTGTGAGAACCGGAGTCGGAGTAAGACCTGGATCGACGATACTGCAGTGGAGATGTGC